TATTTGCAACTTAACGGCGAATTTAAACCGATACAGGTAAAATAAACTCATTTAATTATAGTATAAACTTACTATTTTTATTTGTATACACGTCTAGAAAATCGGGTTTTTTATCATACGTTTGAAGCAACACTATTATTATGTTGACAAGGTGTAGCGAAAGCACAAAATGAGTCAAAATATATACCAAAAGTAGAATCTTTCATGAAATTTTGTCTTATACACAACTACATTATATAAAAACGTACATATTTGTTTACAAATGGTATATCCATAATATTTGAACAATAATTTCAAAATGCTCATTCCCAATTCGCAAATATAGTTATTCAAAGCAAAACAGTAGATTGTCTGGCGAATAAAAGAACTATTATTTTGTGCTTTCGCTTCACCTTGTCAACATAATAATAATGTTGCTTCAAACTTTATGATAAAAACCCCGATTTTCTAGACGTGTATACAAATAAAAATAGTAAGTTTATACTATAAATGAGTTTATTTTACCTGTATCGGTTTAAATTCGCTGTTAAATTGCAAATAATTCTGTTTGAGAACGCAATAATTGAGAATTTCGCAACCAGGGCAGTTTCAGGGCAGTTTTGGCCTTGTTGTTGGGAAATCCACTAGGCCTTCTATTTTTTCGCTTGCGTCAGGCTTGTGTCCTTCCTCCGCCCCGCCTCCAAATCACCTAGTCCCAGTCTTTTCATGTGAAAAATCGCTGAATATTAAAAAATATAAATAAAAATAGAAGGCCTAGGTCTAGGCTGACAACTATGGACAATATCTGACGACACCGTCCCGTGCACATTCGAACAATCACTTTGCCAGCTTTTATTCCCTAATCTTGAACATTACAATTGTGGGAGAAAATTCCGTTTATGCGTATGCCTAAAACGAATGAACACGGAGATGTGTTTCTGCGCGTGCGTATATATCAAAAGTGTTCGTACCACAATCATAAGACAATCAAACAGCATTCAAAACAGGCAACACAACTATGATATTACAAAGTAATAGCATGGCATTACGGTCGATTAGTGATGAAATGTCCCTCAAGCCTCGAGAGGTTTAGTAAAGTTGCTAAACCTCTCTCGGCTTTCGGGTACATTCAATCACCCTGAATGCCATGCTATTACTTATAATAATATTTTTGATTTAATATTTAAATTTTATTATAATATTTGTGTTTATAGTATGTATAGTACAGTTTATACTGCAGAACTTCTTCTTTATCATATAGATAACAGATTTATAGAAACAATTGTGACAAAAGTATCTTGGCAAATACAAAATATTGAGAAACTATGAGTATAAACTGCACGCGATTATTATTGCGCCTATTGTAGTATGTATTTCTTTAACAATTATTCGCCGAAGGCGAGGCCGTGATTAATTATCGGGGAATTTGTCAAATTTGACCAATCAACTTGACAACTTGTAGGATTTGTAGGATATATTTATTCACTTGCGCAAAAATATGCAGTAATGACGGTATTGTTCATCTTTGCATAATGGTCCATAATAGCTTACACCCGTTTAGCGCCTGCCTAAATAGGCTGTGTTTACAATGTATTTTGTCTTTGTCAGTTTTAGCTTTTCATAAATGTATTCAGCCATAGTGAACACGAAAACTCTCATAGTCATCATACTTTATAAATACGAAAGTATGATACATTAATTGGTAGTATTACAGCTGTGAACGTGGCAAATAGTTGCTAGACTTCCTGAAGCACATAAACATATAGATTTTTGCCTTTTCACACATGTACACAACTGAGTAGGTCTTAAAAAGTGTGTAAATTTCCGTTGGAATATTCCTGTCCATCTACTAACACTTGTTAAAAATAACTGAAGCACTTACATATAGTAGTGATAAAGAATGCTAAAGAATGTCTTTCAATAATCAGTAACATTAGCAATAACGTTACCGTATCAGAAGTAAACAATTACACAATACAGTACTAGTATAAACTATTATGCAAAGATGAACAGTCAATAGATACATAATACAATATATCTTATTGGATTCTTCTGAGCCCAATATGGTAAAATATTAAGTCGAGACTTCAATATTGGACGAGACCGAAGGTCGAGCCTAATATTGAAGTCGAGTAAATACAGCGACAAAGTAAATACAGCGAAACTAATACAGCGACAACATTACTACATATATCGGCGGCAAATTTGATTAAGTAACTAATTACAAAAAAGTTAATAAACCTGTTTTTACAATATGTGTGCATAAATAAACTCAATTCCATATATGTTTAAAGGAAATTTCACCTAATATTAACGAAAAAAATAATATTACTAACTTCTAGGCTGTTCCAAACAAATAAATTTCGAAGACAAGTTTTCCCGCGCTTTTATAATTTTAAACAAAACTAGTAGAAAAAACTGTATTAATGTCCCAAATTCTTTTCATTATTCTGCCATATCGTTTGTAGTTTGTTTGAAATTGACAAAACATCTGAAAAGGGTTTAAAAACCATGAAAAAAGCCACAATTTGCAACTGTCCAATAGGTTCCTGTGCAATATCAAAAAATATTGGATCGGCATCTGACCCTCTCAACGATTACTGATTGGTTAAGTGCGCGTGAGCGTATAATAATACTCAATAGACAATAGGCGCAATAATAATCGCTTGTATAGTTTATAGTTTCTTAATATTTTGTATTTGCCGAGATACTTTTGTCACAATTGTTTCCATAATTAATCTATTATCTATATGATAAAGAAGAAGTTCTGCAGTATAAACTGTACTATACATACTATAAATACAAATATTATATAAAATATTGGATAATCCTGCTATCCTACAGGCCATATCTATGAAATTGCACTGCTGGTATACCTATATAACTGATACTGAGTATTGTTTACCTTGTATATTGTGTCATGCATGTGCCAGTGCAGTGTATAGCACGCTTTTCAGTAGCAAATTTTCGTTCACTGTTTAGATTTTAATATAATTATACGAAAATCTGAAAAATAATATAATTTCAGAATCGAAAGTCCAAAGTCCAAAGTCCAAAGTCCATAGTCCAAAGTCCATAGTCCAAAGTCCAGTCCAGTGTTTACAATATGCCTTGCAAAATTCTTATTTTTTAGGAAAAAATGCAATTTTGCGTGAATAGTAAAACGGCTTAGACTAAAGCAAATTGTCTTAAATTTCGTGCAGCAATTAAACAATAAACACCCAGAACATTTTTCACCCATTAACTATAAAAATACGATATATATGTATTGGTTTCCATGGCACCCAAATGTTAATTTACCTGATGCCAAAGCTGGTTGAAACAGTCTGCTAAACTATATTTCAAAATCAGCATCGTTACCATAAATAACTGGCGGGGTGAAATATTTGTATTTAAGGCTTTTTCAAACAAACTTAAAAAGTTAATGAAGCTAGCACTTATAAAAAATCAATATAATAGATAAAATTCCCTCCCCCTGAACAATGTTGGCCGTACAGTCTAAAAAATTGTATTCAATAGTTCATCGATGGCAGAGAACACTATGTATAGGTTTTTTACTCATCTTTATCACCATTGTAAGGGGGAAAGGGGAAAGAATAAATCAAATTGTCAATTATACTGGATGTTTTATTAGTTTTTGACAGGATTATAGCTAATTTTACTTGAAAAAATTAGCCTAACTTTTTACTAATGTAAAAGTCTGTGTTATAATGACCAATAAAGGTAACTAAGAATTTGGAACAGAAAATATGAATATTATGCCTAATTTAATTCCAGTTTCCGAAAAGCTGCTTTTAATAATTATAATTTAAAAATTAAACGAGACTTACCTGCAAGTTGAAGTTTGATGTAGATTCTACCGATTCATAGTCAGGAACATAGGAATTACGTGAGATTGCGCGAGCAAGCTATATCAATGTTTACCAGTGAATGAGCACAGGATCCCACGTAAATAGGGAGGGATCATCTTAGCATTTTTAATGCCGTGAGTTATTTGTATAACCAATGTTGGGAGGGCACGTAATTCCTATGTTCCTGACTATGAATCGGTAGAATATATATCAAACTTCAACTTACAGGTAAGTCTCGTTTAATTTTTAAATTCTACCTCATCATAGTCTACGTCACATAGGAATCACGTGAGACTTTAAAGCCCTGTGATCATGAACAAGGACACAACACCAGTAATTGTCACACTCTATATTTGCCTCTAACAAAACTGAACCAAGATTACAAGACACATTAATTTCTTTGTTATAAAACTTAGCAAAAGTTCCACAGTTGGACCATCCAGCAGATTCCAAGATGCTTTCTATGGAGGCACCTGCCTTGGCTGCAGCGCTAGTGGAGGCTGCTCTAGTACTGTGTGCAGTAAATTTTGTTGTATCAATACCTGCATCCTTTAATACAATCTTGATCCAGCGTGAGATGGTGTCCTTACTAACAGGCTTAAATGGTTTTTGATAACTCAACAATAACTGGCTCGTATTAACGTCAGTTCTGTGATTCGCAGTTTTTTCAATATATGCTCTTAAGTGACGGATAATACACAAACTTTGCTCCTGGCCAAACGCTTCCAGTTCAATAGGTTTTAGATGTTTCCCTGGTCTCGACTGTTTCAGTAACCGGGTCAGATAAAAAGTACATTTCCTATCTGATATGTCCATATGGTTAACATCCAAGCAATGAATCGTTTGCGTTCGTTGACCAGTGAGAAGAGCCAACAACATAACAAGTTTTAATGTAAGTTCCTTTAGTGAAATACATTCAATAGAAGGGTAAGAACGCAGTCTATTTAACACTTGATTGACATCCCCAAATAAATGCATAACGTGGCAACGAAGGTTTCTGTTCAAAAACACCCTTTAAAAACCTCTTTACCAAAGGGTGCATACCAAACGTAAGAGAATCATTAGCTACAAGTATGGTTGAAAGGGCAGATCTGGCTGTATTAACTGCACTGTAGCCAATACCCCTATCAACTAGTTCTGCTAGAAAATTGATACCTTCAATTACAGTAGCTGAAACTGGACTAATCCCTTTGGAGTTGCAGTAGTTTTCCCACTGTGTAAGGTAGGTTTGGTATTGTTTTTTAGTTCCATCCCGCCAGGCACACATGAAAATGTCTGAAGCTGTTGTTGAAAGTCCACTTGTTTGCAACTGTCCCCTGACAAGTGACATACTAGCAGATCCAGTTTCTTGTGTAAGGGGTGTGTTTCTTGTGGGTGGCTTGGTAGCAATAACAGTCTGGCACTGTGCTGTAGAAGAACTGGACAGCTGATCAGCATCCTCATTGCCATGGAATACCACATCTGGGTGGGCCATTTGGGGATTACTATTACTCCTGTTGCCTTGTCCTGCTCCAGTTTCTGAAGAACTTTTGAAATGACACTGAAAGGAGGAAAATAGTAACCTTGGAAAGTGTTCCACTGAGCAGAAAATGCATCAATAGATTGTGCTCCTGGGTCTGGTCTATATGCGATATATCTGGGAAATTGAGCATTTAATCTAGATGCAAACATGTCTATATCTGGGTTAACTTGTAATTTGTCAAGTGCTTGATGTAAGAGTGTGGGGTTCAACATCCACTCATTGCTGGTGCTTATTTCCCTTGACTCTTTATCAGCTACTATGTTATATTTGCCCGGAATATGTTCCGCTGAGACCCAGATTTGTTTACTGATGCACCACTGCCAAATATCTAAAGCTACATTGTTACATTGTATTGAGTGGCTAGTGCCCATATGGTTAATAGCAGCCACTGCTGTCGTGTTGTCAATCTTCAATCTAATGTGGGTATTGCTCCTGTCAGGTGTTAGTGATTGGATTGAAAAAAGAGCAGCCCTTAATTCAAGGCAATTAATATGCTCTTCTGATTCTTGGGGTGACCAATGTCCCCCACAAGTTGTACCATCCAATACACCACCCCATCCAATTTTTGATGCATCTGTATTGATTGTAATTGATGGGGGTTCATGGTTGATGACATTGAATGCTTTGTCAATATTGTCTACCCACCATTGTAATTCTATTCTGGCCACAGGTGATAGAGCCATTGGTGCATCATAGTTTCCCTTATGGTCTTTAACAGCTAGAGATTTATCCCGCTCTAGTTGTCTATAGTATAATGGTCCATACATAACTGCTGAAAAACTAGACACCATGAGCCCTATCACCTTAGAAACCTCCCGGATAGTGTGATTTTGCTGTCTCTGCAGTGCCTTACATGCCTTCACAATTTTCTGTTTTTTCTCATCGGTTAGTGTAATAGTCATGGTGACAGAGTTTAAAACATTCCCAAGAAAAATTATTTCTTGAGATGGTATAAGGCATGATTTCTCAGGGTGCACACAAAACCCTAACTCGGTTACCAGTTTTACTGTTTCAAGCACAGTAGTCAAGCATTCCTGGTAAGTGTCCCCTTGGTTGTAATTGTCATCAATATAACCAGCAAAGAGATGACCTTGCAATCTAAGCGAAGAGTGAATTGGCTTAATAAGCTTTGTAAATTTCCTAGGACAGAAACATAGCCCATTAGGAAAGCAGGTAAACTTGTAGTAGGTTCCTTTCCAGTGGAATTTGAGAAATTTCTGATGTTTTTCAGACACAGGTACTGAATAATATGCATCTTTGAGGTCGATGGTGGCCATAAAGCAATTTGGTCTCATAAGTTTGACTACTGACAAAAGTGTGTCCATTTTAAAATGCTGATAAGTGATATTTTTATTCAAAGCTTTGAGATTCAAAATTAGGCGGTATGAGCCATCTTTCTTTGCCTTGAGGAATATGGGCGAAAGAAAATCACATTTCTCACGTTCAACTTTTTTAATTACCCCTTTGCTTAGGAGTTTACTGAGCTCAGTCTCAGTGATTTGTACCTCAGGGTCTGAGAATGTTTGTATGGCAGGTGGCCTAGATTGGACTGGTACATGCTCGAAATCAATAGTTGTACCTGTTACCATGTCAATAATTTCTTTA